TTTATTAAGACAGTGCTAGACTTTTTCTTTAAAGTGTAATTTCCTCTGAATGTGTTAGAGGGTACCTTACTTTATTATTGAAATGCCAGGTTTATTTATATAATAATAAATGCTAAGCTTCATGTTATTGAGACTACTGCTTTTATTTAATTAATTAGTCATAACTTGGGAGCCCTTGTTTTTTGTAAAACATGTTTTTCTAGGTACTGGTAGGTTGATATCTCATATTAAGCGCTGTATTAAAATTATCTGTAACTGTGCAGGGGGAAATAAAGGAACATGATGTATGTATAGAAATGGTACTTTGATGCTAACTTTAAAACATTATATTTGGAATGTAATAGCCTTTGCTGAAGCTGGTTTAGCTCTGTGGATAGAGTGTCACCTTGCAGACTGATGGGTCCCAGGTTTGATTCCGGTCAAGGGCAGGAACCTTGATTGTGGGCACATCCCTAGTGGGGGGGAGGGGTGCAGGAGGCAGCTGATCGATGTTTCTCTCTCATCGCTGTTTCTAACTATCTCTCTCCTTTCCTCTCTGTAAAAAAACCAATAAAATATATATATTAAAAAAAATAGAATGCAATAGCCTAAGTTACTGGTAAGCAAGCTATTGCCCAGCAAATTGTGCCAAAAATGGGTCCTCTATATGTATTTTTTTTCTTTTCTTCAGATTTTTAAAAAATGTGGTAAAATACATATTACATAAGATTTACTGTCTTAACCATTTTTAAATCTATAGTACAGTGGTACTAAGTACAGTCATATTATTGTGAAATCATCACCATCATTTATCTCCAGAACTCTTTTCATCTTGTAAAACTAAAACTCTATATCTATTAAACAAAACTCCCATTTTCCTCTTCTCCCAACCCTGGAAATCATCATTCTAACTTTCTGTTTCTATAATTTTGACCACGCTAGGTACCACATATAAATGGAATCAAACAGATTTTGTCTTTTTTGTGATTGGCTTATTTCACTTAGCATAGTCCTCAAGATACATCCATGTTGTATCATATATCAAAATTTTCTTCCTTGTTAAGGCTGAATAAGAGTATCTGATTGTATATATATATATATAATATTTTTGCTTATCCATTCATCTGTCATTGGGCACTTGCGTTGCTTCCATATTTTGGCTATTGTGACTAGTGCTGCTAGGAATATAGGTGTACAAATATCTCTTTGAGAACTTGCTTTTAATTATTTTGGGTTTATATCCAGAAGTAGAATTCCTGGATCATCTGCTCATTCTATTTTTAATTTTTGGAGGCCCAATATACTGTTTTCCATGTAGCTGTACCATTTTTATAGTGCCAACAACAGGGTTTTAGTTTTTCTACCTCCTCGCCAATCCTCATCATTATATGTTGTGTGTGTGTGTGTGTGTGTGTGTGTGTGTGGTTTTTTTTTTTTTTTTTTTTTATAGTGGTCATCCTAATGAGTATGAATGTAGTTTTGATTTGCATTTCCTAAATGATTAGTGATGTTGAGCATCATTTCATGCTTTTGTCTATTCATATATCTTCTTTTGAGTAATATTTATGTAAGTTTTTGCCTATTTTTTGTTGCTTTTTAGTTTTTTGAGTTTCAGAAAAACATATATATTCTGGATATTAATCTCTAATCATCTATCTGTTTTGTAAATAAGTCTTATTGGTTTTCAGCCATACCTGCTCATTTGCATTTTATGCATGACAGATTTTAATGTTATAATTGAGTAGTCCATACAAGGAATATATGGCCTGCAAAGCTAAAAATATTTGTCTTCTGCCCATATACACAAAAAGTTTATTGACTCCCAGGTGTAACTAATGAAATTGGCAAATGAAATAGTGATTATTTAATTTAAAATTTACTTACTGGGAAGATCTCTAAATATTGAACTTAAAAATAAGTTGGTACAAAATGATTTATAGTCTGTTTGTGTAAAGCAATATATATCTTACATTAAGAAACTCTGCAGAATTATGATTAGTGATTGATACATGCTGTATGGTGTTTTTTACAATTGAAAATTTAGGTTTAGCCCCTTGGCAAGCATTGTGGAATTTTAACATTTATATGATGTTGGAATATATCTAAACTTCTGTGCTGGAGACACTTTCATGAAAAATGGCCGATATGGGGCTAAGATGTTTAGAAACAGATGTGCTTAGGAGTTAGCTCAAAGGTAGAAGGAACCGAAACCGGTTTGGCTCGGTGGATAGAGCATCGGTCTGCGGATTGAAAGGTCCCAGGTTCGATCTGGCCAAGGGCATGTACATTGGTTGCGGGCACATCCCCGATGGGGGGTGTGCAGGAGGCAGCTGGTCAATGTATCTTTCTCATCGATGTTTCTAACTCTCTCTCCCTCTCCCTTCCTTTCTGTGAAAAAAATCAATAAAATATATATTAAAAAAAAGGTAGAAGGAGTTCTGTCTAAATTTTGAGTCCATACTTATTTTATGTATTAAGGCAAATGGTCTTTATAATTTTCAGCAAGCGTTTTTGTTATTGTTAGATATATCTTTATCTTTAAGCATTTAGTGTTCTAACATTAGTATGATAGTTGTTGCAAGACCTTTTTTTTTATGTTTTTGCTTTGCTAATTTCCCGCCCATCTGTTATAGTAAAAACAAACTCAAAGTATGGGAGAAAGAAGTTTCCCATGACTATTTATAAAGGGCCAAATGTCTGCAGCTTTGCATACAAACTTCATAGCTGAGGAATGAATTCCATGGAAAAAGCTCTCAAGGACCAACTAATTTTTGGAAAATGTTAGAGTGAACTTGGGTTGTTTATTATCATATAGCTTAAGTTCACAATACTGTTTATAAATTTAAATAAGTTAAACGTTATTTATTGACTTTAGATATAGAATTGAATTGTAGAGTGGTTTGACAAAGAAAGTGCTTTCACTGGAATAGTCATAGATCAATATTAAGATACCAAAGAAGGCAAAGGCAAGAAAAATAGTACAAGTTCAACTCAGAAATCTGATAACTTATTTACTATGTGAAACTTTGAACACATTTTAAATATTTATAAATATTACCAAGGTCAGAATTTTCAGATTTCCTAGTCAATACATGAAGGTATTTGAGTTTCCAACACATGTAAGGGGCAATATCCTGACTACATCTGTGTCTTTTCATATATAGCTCAGGGATATAACTCAGAGGCAAGCTTCAGGAATTTTATTGTGAAGAAAGCACAGCACACCACAGAATCAGGTTAGTTTCCTAACTGCCACTCTTTAGAAAATCCTGTGTAATAAAGAGCTAATGTGCAAATGGTCATCATGCCCTTGTGTCTTCATGTCCTTGTGCCAGGGTAGGGAGTGGGGGGGACCTGAGGCCAGGCTGGGGGATCTGAGGCTGCGCCCCAGCCTGGCAGGGCTTGACAGGGGACCTGAAGCTATGCCCCCTGCACTGCAGGGCTTGATAGGGGTGGGCCCAGCCAGGGCTGGGTTTCACGCTATTTTGAGGTGCACGTGGTGGGTGGGGACTTGACCCTGCAGTGTGCCCCAGACTCTGACAGAGGGAGATTTTCATATATATTTTACTAACTTTCTCTCATCTCTGACACTTCTATTATAGAGAAAGTGCAAATAGCAATATTAAAATATTTCCTCTAATCAATTCCCTTTTAATGTGCACAAATTTCATGCACCAGGCCACTAGTAATAATGATGATGATGATGATGATGATGTAGACCCATTAAGGCTTTTAGGTTTATGGTTATGAGATGAGAATGGATATGCTATCACTAGTCAATCAACAAACAAGTGTTGGCGAGGATGCGGAAAAAAAGGGAGCCCTTGTGCAGTGTTGGTGGGAATGCAGATTGTGGAAAGCAGGATGGAGTTACCCCCAAAAAATAAAGTGAATCTGCCATATGACCCAGAGATTCCGCTTCTGGGGAATATATCCAAAGAAACCCAAAACATTGATTCAGAAGACTATATGCACCCCTATGTTCATTGCAGCATTTTTTTAACTAGTGGTCCACACTTAGATTCATGCACATTGAAAGGAAGTTAATTAGAAGGTGGCTGGTAAGGTGGGACTGGACAAGACGAGGCTGGACACGCACTGGAGCCAACCTCCTATAGTACCTCTGCAGCTGGCCACATCTGGGGTGGCACCATAGCTCAAAGAGCATCTGCAGAGTGAGCAGGGTCCCTCGGCAGTTGGGGTCACTCGGCCTGGTCTGTGGGGATCAGCTGAACTGGCCCTGGGATACCCTAAGGGGTCCCGGAGTGTGAGAGGGCACTCTGCAAAGATGCTATTGTACAGGGTGTGAAACACAAATGTACAGTAAATCAACAGTGCCCCAGCAACAACATAACCCATGGCCGAACGTGGAATCTCATGACCCTGTGAGGAATCAGGGTCCCACCCCTTTGGTTCTGGGGTGCGTCTCCCCAGAACCGCTGCTGCCAAGTCACCGCAGATTGGCAGCTCCTGGGTTGAATGTCTGTTCCCTGGTGGTAAGTGTGCGTCATACCTACCAGACGATCAGACTATTTGAAGGTTGCAGTCCAAGTGTCTATCAGTAGATGAGTGGATAAGAAAAGCTATGGTACATTTACACAATGGAATACTGGTCCATAACAAGGAAGGAAATCTTACCTTTTGTGATAGTTAGGATGAACCTAGAGAGTATTATACTAAGTGAAATAAACCAGTCAGAGAAAGACGACAGGTACCATATGATTTCACTTATATGTGGAATCTAATAAAATCAACTGACAAACGGAGTAAAACAGATTCATAGATACAGAGAACAGACCGACAGCTATCAGAGGGTAAGGGGACTGAGTGAGAAAGGTGAAGAAAAGAAGGGATTAAACAAGCAAACAAAAAGAAGCAAAACTTGGCAGACACAGACAACAGTATGGTGATTACCAGAGGGAAAGGGATGGTGGGGGGAGGGAGAAGAGGGTAAAGACGGTTAAATGGTGATGGAAGAAGACTTGACTTGGGGGTGGTGAACACACAATACAACACACAGATGATGTGTTATAGAATTGTTCTCCTGAAATGTATATAATTTTTTTAACCAATGCACGCCAATAAGTTCAATAAAAATAAATATTTATTTTTTCACTTTATACCCTAACATTGCAGTTTCTATACTTATACCAAGTTATATATGTACAAAAGTAGAATTAAGGTAGTCAAACCTAAGTGGGGCATTTATCACCAGTCCTTGAGAATTTTAATCTCTCAAACTTGCAACACATGCTATTATTTCTGGAGAAATGGAAGTAAGGAAGTACTAGTTAATCCCAAGAGGAGTTGTGTGACAGGAGCCAGCTGCTACAGTTGTGTATCAGTGCAGATGTGCTGGAAAATCAGGAAATTGATTTGCTAAATCTGAAAATGGCTACCACCATGCCATGCTCAGGTCTGATGGATATACCTTAGTTGACTTAATTAAGTCAACAGTAGTCAAGATAATTATACGAATCATTGAATGTATCTTTGTGCTAAAGTGGACGCCCATTATGCACAAAGTTGAAAGTGTCATAGAGAAGAGCAATCCTTTGTTTCTCTTTTCTTTTAGGCCTGATGACCAAGTAGCACTGCTTTAATGGAATGAAGAAGGAGACAGGGTCACTGTCTTAAGGATGCAACTGTATTTTGTGGTCTGAAGCAGTTCCCGTTACTCTCAGGTTTTCATGATTCAGTTACTAGTTGGCAGCAAACTCCAACACAGAGTGTCGAAGGGTCATTTAAATTTTGCATGAGTGTCTTTCCAGATTATGGGAATGATTTCTTCCCATTATTTGTTCCTACCTAGTATACCTAATCACAGAGGACAGCTAGATGCTTTGACTTAAAAAGTTGGGTATAGCCGAAACCAGTTTGGGTCAGTGGATAGAGCGTCAGCCTGCAGACTGATAGGTTCAATTCTGGTCAAGGGCATGTACCTTGGTTGCCGGCACATCCCCAGTAGGGGGTGTGTAAGAGGCAGCTGATCAATGATTCTCTCTCATTGATGTTTCTAACTCTCCCTCTCTCTTCCTCTCTGTAAAAAAATCAATAAAATATATAATAAAAAAAGTTGGGTATATTATATCCAACTGTACATAAACAATTTAATTTTTTGTTTTGTATATAAATACAGTAGGTATATCTCAGTTGGGTATATAACTCTTATTTACTCCCTTTCATTGAACCTTTTGTGACCCATTCATGTTTTTACACTGCTGCTTCATGGGGGAAATTTTTTTTCCGTAAGTTGTAAAGGGTAGAATTTTCCTGGCATTTTTCCTTTTTTGGCTAGCCAAGTAGTATGCTGTGCTAAATGGAAATGTAGAGATAATCAAATTTTCACTTGAGGAGGTGGATGAAAAAAGAAACAAGAAAATGGGCAAAATATATTCAATGAATGGAAAATGAAAAACAGAACCGTCTCTGATGGGGGAAAAGGCAGCGGTGCTAAATGCTAGGCTGTGTTGGCACTGAACTGGCAGTCTGAGGTTTGAAGACTTTAATTTCTTATGTTCACTTGGTAACTATGGTACCCTTAGTTTGTGAAATGCTTCTGCGATCTTAGGTTATTAGAAATCATTTTCTGCCAAAGACCATGTATGACCTTTTCAAAAGTACCAAATTGCTTTTTGGGGGAGGGATTCTATCCAAAATTAAATTGATAATTATACCAAAAACAGTGGTGTTTATAGGTCACATCATTGATTCCTCATTTTAAAATAGAAGTGGCACCAAATTCAAAAAGGAAAATAACAAAATAGTGAGAGATCTCCCCCAGCCCCTTTGTTCCTGTTACCCAGGTTTTCTCCTCAGAGATACTTGGTATTACCAGTTCTTACAAATTCTGGGAGATTTCTTTATACCCAAGCTCTCCAATGGTGATGCAGTATGAACCGCAAATGCAATTTACAATTTCCTAGGCCCCACATTAAAAATGCAATCTAAACGATGCAGTGGTTAATGTGATTCAAGTTCTATGGAACAAGGAAGTTGTCTTTAACCAAATATTGTACACTGAATCATAGTTGAAATTCAAATTCATTACATAAAATTTAAATTTAAATCCTGAGTCACACTAGCCATATCTCTGTGTTGAAGAGTCTTTAGGTGGTTCTTGGCTCTCATATTGAACAGTGCATCTCCTTAAACTTAGGAGCAAATGACTAATACATGCGTATTGCTTTTTTCTCTTTTATACACAATTAGTTCTGCTTTGTACTTTGCAGTTTTACTTAACAATATGACTTGATAATTATTCCATTTCATTACATAAAGGGCTCTATTTTTCCCTAGCTGCGTATTTTCTTTGGAGGGATGAACCATGATTTATAAAACCAGCAGCAATTGATGGGTTCATATGTTTCCTCTTTTTCACCTTTACTCTGGTTAAGTGGTCATTTTAGCATCTTTTATGCAGTTTACAACCTACTTTGCTTATAGTCTTTCTTGGTATGTTTAATTAAATTAACTAGATGGTGAACCCCTAAAAAGCAGAGGCTATATTCTGGACTACTTTTGTGTATACTGGTGGGTTTAATTTAATTAGTTGCACATACCTAGATACATAATGATCAGTTATTGGATAGGTATTTGAATTTGTGTGAACCTGAGCAAGAGGTCAGTGTTGGGGTTGGAGACCTACAAAATACTTGTCCACTGGTGTGGTTGAAGCTCAGTTATGCATAGTATTGAACTGAGCATTTAACATTTATCCTTTCAGCCATTACATAATTAATTTGTAAGCCCCCATCAAATGCACCATTAAAAAGGTTGTAGTAAATATCTCGGCACTCTATTATAAAACTTCATTCTTGGGTTGAGGTTCTCTTTTAGCATTGTCCCCTGCAGTGCTTTTTGTAAAAGAAATTTGCATTTCATTAGTAGTGCAACTGAAAATTCTGATTAATGTCATTTCCATCTAAAACCTAGAGAAAACGAAGTATTTCTCCATCATGGGCAGGTTTGCTTATCAGGACATAAGTGCTATATTACGGCCTAAATATTCCTATTTTAATAATGACAGCAGAGTAGCATAAGTTATAAACTTTGAGAATGAAGCCATTATTCATTAACTTGTACATAAGAATTCTCATTTGTGTCAACACCCTAAAATCTAAATTATAAAGAGCCTTTCATTTTGATCCTTCTATTGGTGTAAGAAATTAGCATTTTGATGTGAACATAATGGCTTAAAAATAAGACCAAATAAAGGGTATTTTTTTTCCAAGCTCATGAAAGAAAAGATTGAGAATTTAGAGGTAAAGTTAATGGAAGAGATTTAATTGTCCAATAAGCATTTTAAAAAATAATCAGTATGTGTGTTCCTTCTCTCTAATTTTTTGGGGAAATTACACTTCAAAATGGGTACAAAATTGTAAATATGATAGTAGTAAACATTTGTTTATTTTTTATTTTTTCTAAGAATGTTTTTGGCAACAAGTCAGGGTTTTTACATTGTCCCAAAATTCTAAGCTAGCATTCATCAGAAAAACAAACAAAAAGAGTCATTTAATGTATGGGCAGGTGACCGAGCATTCGGAAAGCATTCTAAGCCAGCCCAGCACTCCCCATTTAACTCTGCTGCCTACCTTAGGTGAACCAGTGCCCTTGGCTCTGGGGCATTTAGCAGCATTGGCTTTGGTTTCAAATAAAACTGGTCCAGCCGGAAGTCAGAACGGCACTCACCAGGCAGCTGGTACAGAATGGATTTGGAGACAGAAAACCTGCTCTGCCCTTCGCTGGCTTAGGCACGTTCTTTCCCTCTGCTTCTCCTCTGTGGCGGGAGATGATTATACAGAATGAAGGTGTGGAAGCAATGCCAGCACGTACCAGGCATTCAGTTTATGTTTGTTACATTTTAAGTATTATCTGCTTTGTTAGAAAACAGCCTTTTGCAATGCTGACAATATTATTATATTAGTTGGAAAGCAAGGAGTGAGGGAACAGGCCCTGTTCCCATGTCTCTCCTAGAAGTGAAGGTGGGGTTGGTTTTCCCCCTTAGTTCCTTGTGAAAGTCCCCGTGCCAGGTGCCGAGAAGCTGTTCTTGGAACGCTGAATGCAAAATGGGTGCTAATCTTCATGAACATCACATTTCTTTTTAGAGGAGAAAAATGCCCCCCTCTGAGATTAGGAACATGCTACCAAGGTGATTGTAATTCTGACTCTTTCCTCACTTCACCTTTGTGGGAATTGCCATATCTTTTAATATTTCGCCTTTCTTCTGTGTACAAGGAGAGTAACCCTAACTGTATTTCTTTGGTTTTGTTAGGACTGATATTCATTGATTGAAATTTTTCAATTGTAATGTCATACGGAAGAACATCATTATTCAAAAGGAGTGGGAATTTGAGACACTATTCTTATCGTAGGCTATTATATATTGAAGAGAACTTTTTAAAAAAAACACACGTGTAGATTAAAATCAGATCTTCTGCCCCGCCTGGGTGGCTCCTTCACCAAAAGTTGTGGGTTTGATTCCCGGTCAGGGTACATACAGTACCTGGGTTTTGGGTTTGATCCCAGTTGAGGGCGTATTTCTCCTTTCCTGTCTCTCGAACATCAATAAAAATATATCATTGTGTGAGGATTAAAAATAAATCATATCTTCCACTCCCATAAATAAGAAATTGAGGTATTGTGTTTTACTATGGATGCTGTAGAATTGAGTGGCAATCTAGAAACTAATTTTTGTATTTTTTGTTGTTGTTAATCCTCACTCAAGAATATTTTAGAGAGAGTGTAATGGAGGGTGAGAGACACAGAGAGAGAAACATTGATGTGAGAGAGACCTATCAATTAGTTGCCTCCCACATGCAACCTGACCAGGGCCCATGCTCTATTTGTGCATTGAGCCAAAATGGCTGGAGCCCTAATTTTTGTTATTGATAAGGGAAGAGGAATCTGTAACTCCTGATGCCATCATTAAGGGGAGGCAAGTGGGCAGCATGTCTTAGGTTGTGTAAAACTGTAGCTCTTTGTCTGGTGGCAGCATGATAGCATCGTCTGAAAATTAACTGTACCCACCTATAACTAAAAGCCTTTATTAGAGCAGGTACTGTTAAATAGCTTTATTTGTTTATGTTTTCCTGGATTCAGTTTTTTGTAATATAGGAATATTGTCCATATTCATGCACTGTATGCTTTGATGTGAAAACAGAAAGACTAATTCAAAATATCTTAACATAATCAAGATCTACTTTTTCTTAATACTATAATGAAAAATGTCTAATATAATGAAACACCTGTATTCAGACACTGCTCTTGTAATAATTTTTTTTGAGTTTTGGGGTGTTTTCAGTAAATTTTCTTTTAAATAATGTGTTTTACCAGATAGCAGGCAAAATTATATGAACTGTAATTGCTTCAGAGGTTGAAGAAATATTTGAAAATTCATCAAATTTCCCCTAATTAAAAGGATCTGGGTCACAGTAATTTAAGAACAATGGGTGGTGGCTTGTGTGATTGGTCATACAACCAGTGAGCATTTATTGCATACTGACTGTTCACCAGGTACTGTGTAAAATGTGTGACAGCCACTCTGCCAAGTAGGTGTAGTGGTAATCCAGATTGTTCAGAAGAGGAAATGGACGGTTAGAGCGTAAGTTGTCCAGGGTCACGTGGCCAAGCAGTGACAGATCTGAGAATAAGACCCAGATGTCATTTGAAATCTATTTGCTTTGACCACTTTGCCTCCTGCTCACCTTTCTCCCCACTCCTCCAGACCTGGCAGTTTAAGAGTAAATAGTATGAGAGACATTAAATAGGACTAACCATTATTTTTGCTGTTTCTATTTAATTTTTTCTGATTACAAAATTGATATGCTTACCACAAAGTATTGGAAAGTAATAGGAATTATAAAGAGAAATAATCATTTTCTAGGCTACTTGCAATAACAATTGCTGACATGATTTGCATTTTACCATTTACTAAATTGTGTTCTAAATAGATATAAATTAACATTTTCTGTAAAAACAATTTCCATGGGCAAATAATTTTGGAGAAAGTCTGGGTTAAACAAAAAAAATTAAGCTTTTTTCTTCTTTTAAGGTCTTCTCAGGGATTTTAATATGCTAATATGCTAATAATGGATCTCCAAAATAGACATATGGAAAGTAACATTTTCCCATATTTATTTATCAGAACAGTAATTTGTTTCTAAAACCAATATTCTTTCAGATATAGTTTAGGTAATGTGTGGATAGAATATATCCCTTTAGATGTTTAAATAAGCATTTAGACTTTTAATTACATATACTATTTTTATGATCTTTTTCTCCAGCATTCTGTTATAGGCTATTTCAGTTATTTAAAACTCATTTAAACATGCTTTATGGAATAGTTGTATAACCATATGTGTATTTGTATTATTATTATTATTATTATTATTATTATTATTATTTTTATTTGTCACTTGGTTGGTAAAGATTTGGACCGTTTCCAATAAAAACATTGTGAGTTTTAGGTTTAGGTGAATGTGATTCCAGAACTGAAAGACTGCAAAGTCTGCTGGGGCGAGGAAGCCAGTGCCAGCGTTTGTTACAGCCAGAAACTGTGAAAGCCATTTACAGATTCAGAGACATCTGTGTGGGATGGCCCCATGACTTGCCATCAGTGAGAGACATGCCAAAGAAAAGGACTTTCTCTGGGGGAAATACTAGTCAGCTGTTAGAACGCACTGAGAAGTGAGGCGTTTGTGTGTATACGGTTTGGAAGTATACGTTTCTTCAGCCGCAGCCTGTGTGGTCCCCAGCCCAGGCATGGTCTCCTCCCGGAAGCAATGGGAAGGCCCGGACCAGGGGATTTCTGATTATTGATCTTTGCTGTGATCAAGGAGAGGAGGAGCACTGGGAATCTCTGGCTCTGTGAAGGGGTGGGGAAACTGGGCTTGTGGACAGGTATGGATTTGAGAAGGAGGAGTTTTAAACATGGATTAGTTGGGGAGGTTGAGTTTGAAGTTACTTAATAGAAAGCCCATTGTAATAACAAGAAGGACAAGAAATCTTTCTGAAAGAATCAACGGTTCACTGATTTTTTTTTTCTTTCATTCAACAGATACTTATTGAAAGATAAGTATGGGTCGGGCACTGGGCTGGACACTGGCAACTAATTGTATTGAAAATATTACTAATACAGTACACGGAAATTATATTCAGGGAATAAAGTCACTCTGGCTGGAATGAAAACACGATTCAGTCTTATTAAAAATACATATCTTTGAACAACATCCAAGGCAGTGTAAACAATACTCTCTCTGTTTTAAAATAAGGACAGTCCAAATCTCTGAAATGCCATTACTATGCAGTTTCAAATACTTTTTTTTTTTTCTTCTTGTCTTGGTTAACATTGTTTCTGGTTCCTTGGATGTCTTAATGTACCTTTTCAGAATGTTTATAAGAATATAGAATGTGTAAATTGTATATGTGCTCTCTCCTTATCCCTGTCAAACTTTTCCCTGGGGTTAGTTCTTCTCATTGGACTGTGGGAAGTTGTTAGTGCTGGCTTTTCTTAGCCAGAACCAAGTATCAAAACTGTCTTTCTCAGCCTGGGAGCATTTATGGCAAGACTGGAGAATGCTGCCCTCACTGGGGCAGCGGATTGCAAGGTCTGGTGAGTTGCCAAAGGGAAAATTC